TTTACGGGGAATTTACTGAGCAATTCAGTGAGAATTTCCTCGGAATTTACCGAGTAATTTAATTAGAATTTTCTGAAAATTTACTGACAATTTTTTGGAAATTTCCTGAGTAATTTACTGAGAATTTTCTAGGTTTGAATTTACTAGGAATTTACAAAATATTTTACTTAGAATTTTCTGAGAATTTAATTGGAATTTTTAGGGAATTTACTGAGTAATTTAGTGGGAATTTTTTTGGAATTTACTGAGTACTTTAGTGGGAATTTTTTCAGAATTTACTAGGAATTTGTGTGGAATTACTCAGTAATTTACTGAGAATTTTCTGGAAATTTACTGAGTATTTACTTAAAATTTTCTGAAAGTTTACTGGGATTTTACTGAAAGTTTAATGGGAATTTACTCAGTAATTTACTGAGAATTTATTTCGAATTTACCCACTAATTTACTGGAAATTTACTGAGAATTTATTGGGAATTTACTAATTAATTTACTGAGAATTTACTAGGAATTTACTGAGTAATTTATTGGTAATTGACTGAGAATTTTCTAAGAATTGACTGAGTAATTTATTGAGAGTTTACTTGGATTTTACTGAGTAATTTACTAAGAATTTACTGAGTAACTTACGGAGAATTTACCTGAAAATTTACTGGAAATTTACTGAGAATTTATTGGGAATTTACTAATTAATTTACTGAGAATTTACTAGGAATTTACTGAGTAATTTATTGGTAATTGACTGAGAATTTTCTAGGAATTGACTGAGTAATTTATTGAGAATTTACTTGGATTTTACTAAGTAATTTACTAAGAATTTACTAAGTAACTTACGGAGAATTTACCTGAAATTTATAGAGTAATTTGCTAAGAATTCCCTGGGAATATACCGAGTAATTTACTGAGAATTTACAGGTAATTTACTGAGAATTTACTAGGAATTTTCTGAGAATTTATTGCGAATTTACTGAGTAGTTTATTAAGAATTTAGTGAGTAATTTTCTGAGAATTTACTGATTAATTTACTGAGTAGTTTACTGGAAATTTATTGAGTAATTTACTTCGAATTTAAGGGTAATTTACTGTGAATTTAAAGGGAATTTACTCGGTAATTTGCTGAGAATTTACTGAAAATTTACCTTGTGATTTACTGAGAATTTAATGGGAATTTATTGAGAATTTACTGTGAATTTACTGAGTAATTTACTTAGAATTTACTGGGAATTTACTGAATAATTTGCTCAGAATTCACTGGGAATTTACCGAGTCATTTACTGAGAATTTACTTAGTAATTTATTGACAATTTACTAAGTAAGTTACCGGGAACTTACTGAAAATTTACTGTGTAATTTACTGAGAATTTACTGATTAATTTACTGAGAATTTTCTAAGTAATTTACTAAGTAATTTATTGGGAATTTATTCAGTAATTTACTTCAAATTTATTTAGAATTTACGGGTAATTTACTGAGAATTTACAGGGAATTTACTCGGTAATTTGCTGAGAATTTATTGAAAATTTGTTGAGAATTTATTTTGAATTTACTGAGTAATTCACTGAAAATTTACTACGAATTTACACAGTAATTTACTGAGAATTTACACAGTAATTTTCTGAGAATTTATTGGGAATTTACTGAGAATTTATTTGGAATTTACTGGAAATTTACACAGTAATTTGTTGAGAATTACTACGAATTTACTGAGAATTTAATTAGTAATTTGCAGAGATTTTATTGGAAATTTACTGAGTTATTTACCGAGAATTTGCTCGAAATTTTTGGAGTAATTTATTGGGAATTTATAGAGTAATTTACTGAGAATTTTGTGAAAAATTTACTGGCAATTTTCTGAGTAATTTAATGAGAATTTACTGGGAATTTACTGTGTAATTTACTAAGTATTTAATGAGAATTTACTAGGAATTTATACAGTAATTTACTGAAAATTTACTTGGAATTTACAAACTAATTTTCTAAGAATTCAGTGGGAATTTATTGAGAATTTACTGGGAATTTACTAAGTAATTTACTCACAATTTAATTGGAATTTACAGAGTAATTAAATGAGATTTTATTAAGAATTTACTGAAAATTTACTGAGTAATTTAATAATAATTTACTGGGAATTTAATGAGAATTTACTGGGACTTTACGTAGTAATTTATTGAGAATTTACTGGGAATTTACTGAGTAATTTATTGGGAATTTATGGGCAATTTACTGAGAATTTATTGGGAATTTACTCAGTAATTTGTTGAGAATTTACGGGAAATTTTCTGATTAATTTACTGAGAATTTAATGGTAATTTACTGAGTAATTTAATAAGAATTCACTTGGAATTTAGTAGGAATTTACTGAGTAATTTACTGAGAATTTACTGCATAATTAACTGAGAATTTACTGAATGATTTACTCAGAATTTGTTTCGAATTTACTGAGTAATTTAATGAGAATTTACTGAGTAATATAAATGAGAATTTACTGGTAATTTACTGAGAATTTACTGGAAATTTAGTCAGTAATTTACTGGGAATTAACTGGAAATTTATTGAAAATTTATTTGGAATTTACTGAGTAATTTAATAATAATTTATGGGGAATTTGCTTAGTAATTTAATGAGAATTTACCGGGAATTTACTTAGTAATTTACTGAGAATTTACCGGGAATTTAATTTACTGAGAATTTACTGATAATTTTTTGCGAATTTACAGAGTAATTTACGGAGAATTTACTGGAAATTTACTAAGTAATTTACTTAGAATTTTTTGGGAATTTACTGAGTAATTTACTGCGAATTCACTGAGAATTTACTGAGTAATTTACAGAGAATTTACTGAGAATTTGCTGGGAATTTACACAGTAATTTACTTAGAATTTACTGGAAATTTACTGTGTAATTTTTTGTGAATTTATTGGGAATTTAATGAGAATTTACTGGTAATTTACTGAGAATTTTGTTGGGAATTTACTGAGTAATTTACTTGGAATTTCGCAGAGAATTTACTGGGAATTTACTTAGTAATTTTCTAAGAATTTTCTAGGAATTTCGCAGAGAATTTAATGGGAATTTCCGGAGTAATTTACTAAGAATTTACTGGGAATTTACTCAGTAATTTTCTAGAAATTTACTGAGTAATTTGCTGGTAATTTACTGGGAATTTATTGAGTAATTTACTACGAATTTACTGAAAATTTATTGACAATTTAATTTGAATTTATTGAGTAATTTAATGAGAATTTATTGAGTAATTTTCTGCGAATTTACACAGTAATTTGCTGGGAATTTACTGAGTAATTTTCTGAGAATTTATTAGGAATTTATAGAGTAATTTACTGAGAATTTATTGGTAATTTTTTGTGATTTTACTGACAATTTATTGGGAATTTACTGAATAATTTACAGAGAATTTACTAGAAATTTACTGAGAATTTACTCAGTAATTTGCAGAGAATTTACTGGAAATTTACGGAGTAATTTACTAAGAATTTGTTGAAAATTTACGGAGTAATTTTCTGAGAATTTATTGGAAATTTATAGAGTAATTTACTGAGAATTTTTTGAGAATTTTGCGAAAAATTTACTGGCAATGTTCTGAGTAATTTACTTAGAATTTGCTGGGAATTTATTGTGTAATTTACTTAGAATTTAATGAAAATTTACTTGGAATTTATAAAGTAATTTACCGACAATTTATTGGGAATTTACAGAGTAATTTATTGAGTAATTTAATGAGAATTTACTGGGAATTTATACTGTAATTTACTCACAATTTATTTGGAATTTACAGAGTAATTACCTGAGAATTGATTGGGAATTTACTGTGTAATTTACTGAGAATTTACTGGAAATTTACTCAGTAATTTACTGAGAATTTATTGGGAATTTACTGTGTAATTTACTAAGAATTTACAGGGAATTTATTGAGTAATTTACAGAGAATTTACTGGGAATTTACTGAGTATGAGAATTTACTAGGAATTTACTGAGAAATTTGTTGAAAATTTACTGTGAATTTACGAGTAATTTTCTGAGAATTTACTGAGAATTTATTAAGAATTTACTGACAACTTACTGGGAATTTACTGAGAATTTACTGGGAATTTACTTAGTAATTCACTGAGAATTTACTGAGTAATTTACTTTGAATTTACTGAGTAATTTTCTGGGAATTTACTGAGTATGTTCTGAGAATTTTTTGAGAATTTTACTGAGAATTTAGTGGGAATTTACTGAGAATTTCTAGGAATTTACTCAGTAATCTACTGAGTATTTGCTTAGAATTTACTGGGAATTTACTGAGAATTTATTGGGAATTTACTGCGTAATTTACTGAGAATTTATTGGGAATTTACTGCGTAATTTACTGAGAATTTACTGGTAATTTACAGAGTTATTTACTGAGAATTTACTGGTAATTTACAGAGTAATTTTCTGAGAATAGGGAATTTACTCAGTAATTTATAGAGAATTTACTTGGAATTTTTCTGAGTAATTTAATGAGAATTTACTGAAAATTTATGGAGAATTTACCGAAAATTTACTGGAATTTACTTTGTAATTTATTGAGAATTTGCTGGGAATTTACTAAGTAATTTATTGAGAATTTACTGAGTAATTTAGTCAGAATTTACTGAGTATTTTGCTTAGAATTTACAGGGAATTTGCTGAGTAATTTACAAAGAATTTACTAAGAATTTACTAGGATTTTTTTTTTTTTGAACTATTAAAAGCCAAAACGCTACACACAGGCATCAACACACAATGACTCCTTTAAAGGAGGAGGAATAAGTTTCACCCAATCTACAGAAAGCTTCCCGCTGTGGTGAGAAGAAGCCAACCAATGGGCCACCCTATTAGCCTCTCTAGGAATCCAGGAAAAATGGCACCTAAGACTGGACTTCAAAGAGTGATTATCGTGCAGCAATGCTAAACAATCCCGAGGGGGATCCAGCTCCGAGACACTGAGATCAATAACCACCTTACAATCACTTTCTACTTAGACATTTGATAGACCAAGAGTTTGAAGGAGACGACAAGCCAAACGAACCGCACGAGCTTGACCTTGCAAAACTGAGGATGAAGGGGCCGAGACAACAATGCCATCGACCAACCGTCCTTGCAAATTGTGCAGAACAGCTGCTATGGACGTTCTCCCACTGTCTACAGCCACACTTGCATCACAATTAATTTTCAAACAGCCACAAGTTGGACAATGCCAAGTAGGACGTGACTGAGGTAAAGGAGGAACTGCTAGAATAGGGTCAACCATCGAAGTGAGAGGTTGATTAATTTCCCTCCAAAAAGTATAAACCTTACCCACAACAGCTTGAGGATTTACTGGACACTGGGAAAAAACCCATTCATTTCTAGCTTTCCAGATAAACCAACACACCACCGCAGCCTTACCCACTATTTCTTTACGCTCCTTGGCATTTGAGCACATTTCCATGAGTGACACAGTCCAGATTTTAGTTGAGGGACAAATCCCAATCCCCGGCAGCAAACCCAGATCACATGCAAACCAAACTGCCCTGGTCCAATCGCACCTGAACAGAAGTTGCTCGATTGATTCTACTGAAGCATTGCAAATTGGGCACTGGTGGGAATCAGAACAATGACGTCTAAACAGATTTTCCTTTGTAGCTAGCTTGTTATAGCAGACTCGCCACCAAAAGTTACGAATCTTAGGCGGGACTAGAGTCGACCAGATTACTTTCCAGAAATCTTTTGGGAGCAGGAGAGATGAAGACGCCCCTGAAAGTACTGCAGACTGCTTAGCCTCAACCGCCATTCGGTATCCACTCTTAACATCATATATTCCTCGGTTGGAGTGGTGCCAGACAAGAGAGTCCTCCATATTTGTTGAGGATATGGGAATAACAAGAATATGTTAAGCTTTTGCTACTCCCACTGCGGTCGTAAGTTTGCCTAGATCCCAATCTTTGGAATTAGGATGTATGACATCACTTACTAATTGAACTTGGCACCCAGGTTGCTGAGGGGACGCGACTTTGAAAGTTCGAGAATGCGGCACCCATTGATCCTCCCAAAAATGAATTGACTTTCCATTGCCCACCTGCCACCGAAGTCCTGATTTAAGAAGCTCTCTGCCCTGTAAAAGACTAGACCAGGCCCAGGATGGCCGGCTCCCTTTCCTAGCCATCAGAATGTCAACATTCGGGTAGTAAAGGCCTTTTAAAACTTGAGCGCAAAGAGAGGCAGAGGATTTAAACAATCTCCAAACTCGTTTAGCTAACAGGGCTAAATTGAAGGCTTTAAAATCTCTGAATCCCAGCCCCCCTTGGCTCTTACCCACAGATAAACTGGCCCAACTAGCCCAATAGATTCCACGGTCCGACGGGTCCCCGCCCCACCAAAAATTGCTTGTATAGGAATTCAAACAGTCGGTAAATTTTTTTGGCAGAGCAAAACAGGCCATTGCATATGCTGGAATAGCTTGGACGACTGATTTAATGAGAACTTCCCTACCAGCCTGTGATAAAAGATTTTGTTTCCAACCTTGCATCTTTTGCACCACTTTTTCGATTAAATAGCCATAAGCTTCTGCTTTTGATCTCCCCCCAAAAAATGGGAGGCCAAGATATTTGGAACCACGGTTTAAAGAAGAAATGCCCAAGGAAGAGCCAATGCTGTGTTTCACATCATCAAGAGTATTTGCCGAAAACAAGATCCCAGATTTCTCAAAGTTTATCAATTGGCCGGAAGCTGAGCTATACTCTCTAGGATTGATTTCAGAACATGGCACTCCAATAAGTTGGCTTGGGCAAACAGAAGAGCATCATCTGCAAAGAAAAGGTAAGAGAGCAAGGGACAACCCCTCCGTAAAGTAACCCCTGACCACAGTTTCTCTTGAACACTTTTGGAAATTTGTAGAGACAACCCTTCAGCAACAAGTACAAATAAATACGGAGATAGAGGGTCCCCTTGACGAAGCCCCCGCGATGGAGTAAACGCTGCCCGTTTCTCGCCATTTGCAAAAATTGAAAACGAAACCGTGGACACAATTTCCATAACCCAGTTAACCCAAATGGAATGAAAACCCAACTTTACCATCAGAGCCTTTAAAAAATCCCACTGCACCCGGTCATAGGCTTTGTTGAAGTCAAGCTTCACAGCTATATCATGCACATCCCCTCTTGAATACGGTTCATCCCTTGTTTCGCCGATGTTATGATATTTGAATGATGAATACGGTTCATCCCTTGCTTCGCCGATGTTATGATACTTGTATGATGAATACGGTTCATCCCTTGTTTCGCCGATGTTATGATATTTGAATGATGAATACGGTTCATCCCTTGCTTCGCCGATGTTATGATACTTGTATGATGAATACGCCGATGTTATGATACTCGAATGGTTATGATATTTGAATGATGAATACGGTTCATCCCTTGTTTCGCCGATGTTATGATATTTGAATGATGAATACGGTTCATCCCTTGTTTCGCCGATGTTATGATATTTGAATGATGAATACGGTTCATCCCTTGTTTCGCCGATGTTATGATATTTGAATGATGAATACGGTTCATCCCTTGTTTCGCCGATGTTATGATATTTGAATGATGAATACGGTTCATCCCTTGTTTCGCCGATGTTATGATATTTGAATGATGAATACGGTTCATCCCTTGCTTCGCCGATGTTATGATACTCGAATGGTTATGATATTTGAATGATGAATACGGTTCATCCCTTGTTTTGCCTAGGTCAGTAAACATCTCTGGATACTTGAAATAATTGATTGATGAATACGGTTCATCCCTCGTCTTGCTAAAGTTTGATGTGTTTCGTTTTGAAGGACCTCGGCTATATTCATGCAAAACCTTTATTATTAGTACCATTCACTGAGTTTTGTACTCACCCCTCTATATATATGTAGGTGATGAGCAGGACGGCGGCGACGCCTAGATCGTTTTGGGTGCTTGTTTTGGAGTCGTGCTTATGTCGGCTTTACTTTCGTATTTACGTCGGCGATGCTCTGTTTTGCATGTCGGCAAATCTTGAAAATCATGCTTCTTGAATTGTATTAGCTGTATTTTGTATATGTCGGCTCTAGAAGCCTTTTGATCAAGATGTAATATGTAATTCTACATTTTTGTACTCAAGTTGTAAAGTTAATTGGGAATAGTTGACATCTCATTTGATCTATGCACAGCTCTTATGGACCACTTGTATTTGAT